AGGACAAACAAAAGGTGCCCAGCACAGGCCTAGGCCAGCTTCCCCGCACCAGCGGAGCAGGGGAGAATGCCTAGCTGCTGGAGTGGTTCCTGTTCAGCAGGTTCGGGGGAGACTTGAGCATGGTGGCCTTATGTCTCAGAGCAGTCACAAATGAAGTCATTTTTGGAGGGGGAGGAAGGTAAAGAATAAATGTGATAAGGGTGTGAGTAGTGGCTACTAACAGACACCAGGAAATATAATTGACATCATAAATGTGGGTGCACCAATCCACCCAATTGTGGATTCTATGAGTCTGGTGGGATTCTAAGCAGGGATTCTATGAGTCTGGTGGAAGATCTAGTCACCTTTATTTCTTTTCTGGTGTACTTAGATATGCCAAACACCAAGAAAGGGTTACCAAGCCAGGGACATTCCAAATGGTTACTTTTGATTTTTTTTTTCCCCCTGAGGTAGGGTTTCTCTGTATAACAGTCCTGGCTGTCCTGGAATTTACTCTGTAAACCAGGCTGGACATGAACTCAGAGATCTATCTGCCTGCCTCTGGAATGCTGGGATATAAAGGCATGTGCCACCACTACCTGTCTTTTCATTTTTCTGCAAGATATCCCCATGTAGCCCCAGATGACCTGGAATTCACTATTGCCAAGCTGGCTTCAAACTTGTGGCCATCATGAATCAACCTCCATGCTGGTATGGTAGATAGGCACCACCGCTCTTGGCTGTTTATATATTTTATTCCTGCTTATTTGTTTGAGATGTGGGTCTCGTGCTGTAGCCAGGTTAGCTTGGAACTAACTAGGCAGTCCAGGCTGACCTTGAACTTGCTGAACCTGCTTCATTCAGCCTCCCAAGTTCTGGGATCACCCTCATGATTCCTACATATTAAGTTTAATACCTTTAAGGCATGATACATTCTTACAAGAAATAATGTGCTAGTCACCAGGCAGTTACAGAATGTTTTGCAGGACTCGTTTAAGGCACCGCAGACGGTGCCATCTGATGGCACCGGATTCACAGCTCTACAGTGAATGAGCGCGCAGTTGCACAGCACCACCCTATCACTGGAGCGGAGTATCAAGCCCCCCCCCCCAAATGCTTGGTTGAAGCTTTTCATCGATGGGAATCCAGGTCCCATGTGCCAGGCCAGGTGGTGCACGAAAGAGAAAAGGTTGAACTGAATCATCCTAGCACTTGGAAGGCTGAGTCGGAAAGATTCTCACAACTTCCGGGTGGGGTCAAGTTCTGATGCACTAGAGATGCAGGGCATCTGGAATTAACTCTGCCAGTGGGCTGGGTTGTTCAGGAGAGAGGTGCATAACTAATGAGACAGGAACCCTGAAACCACGATGCCTATTGGTGGTCACATCCCAAACGCGATGTCCAGGACAACAGTGGGTTTGGGGCTAAAAAGAAGCAAAGGTGAGAGACTACTGTTGCAGAGTCCAGCTGTTCTGCTCTGTATATTTGTTTGCTATTCCAATGCAGGGCTTCTCTGTGTAGCCCTGGCTGCTCTGGAGCTCACTTTGTAAACCAGGCCGGCCTTGAACTCAGAGATCGGCCCACCTCTGTCTCCGGAGCGATCCTCCACCACCAGGTCAGTCCAACTAATTGTAAAGTCAGAGACCTACAGACACTGATAATGGTCCAGGACAAAGGTTCATTTTTTAAAATGTCTTATTTGTATGACTGTTTTGCCCGAGTGTATTTACATGTGTCGAGTGCCTGCCTGGTGACTGCAGAGGCCAAGAGAGTGTCAGTTCCTTTGGAACTGGAGTTACAGGGGTTATGAGGTGCCACGTGGGCGCAGGGAATCAAACTGGAGTCCATTGGAAGAGCTGCCAGTGCTCATGTGGATCCCTCCAGGCCTTTGTAGGGAGATGCCTCCCAAATGTGTGTGGGGGGGTGGTATATGCCTGTAATTCAGTAATCGGGAGGCTAAGGCAGGAAGGCTGTGTGTTCAAGGCTATCCTAGCCTAGAGCCTGAGCTCCTGTCTGAGGACACCACATACAAAGAAAAGCTGCCTTGAAATAATAAGTGCTGAAGGTGGGTGTCAGGCCAGGAGACGAAAGACTGAATTCCCACGGTCCTCACCTCTTGCTGACTTGTGACTGAAATGCCGGAAAGAACGGCAAGGGGCATTCTTTGTATGAAGCTACAGAGGTCCTACGTGACACAGATCTCTCCAGAAAGCCTTGTAATCCACATTAACTTTGTTTTCCATTTAAAGGCTGGTGGAACTATTGACCAGAGTACCCAAGCCCTTTAATGACAGTATCCACCGTAGTAAAGCTGTAGTTAGGAGCAGCTTCCATTGCATCCTGTGGTCACAGTTATGTCTGCTCTACACATTTCCTTTCAGTCCAAAGTTTTGCTCTTTTGAGACAGGGCCCCGTGTAACCCAGTTCCTTTACACTTAGCTGTGTCACTGAGATTGTCCTTAAACTTTTACCCGATGCTTCCCACCCATGCCCAGTAGAGACGGGGTCTCTCTGTGTAGTTCAGTCAGACCTAGAAGTCATGGCAATCCTCCTGTCTCAGCCTTCCAATTTTCTAGATAATTTCAACTTTTTTTTTTTTTGACAGCCTTCCTATGTAGACCAGGCTAGCCTGAAATTCAGTGTAGAGACCACACTGCCCTGGCCCTCACAGAGCTCCACCCGCCTGTGTCTCTGTCCTGCTGGGTGTACAACAGGCATATTCCACCATGCCTCTCTTCTGCAGACTGTCTCGCCCAAAGGTTTTGTTTGTGGCTCAGCTGTTGGCCCTGAGAAGGAGGGGGTGCTATCAGGGCTTTAAAGGGCTGTGGCACAACAGGCTGGGTTGCTTCCAGTGAAGCAACCTGAAAACACGGGGCAATGGTAATGGCTGGCAATGACTAAGAGCGCACCTTGTGCCACAACCTGGGCCACGTGCGTTACGTCCATCGACTCCTCTAATGTCTCAACATTAGGTGGATGTCATTACCCTGATGCCAAAATTAGAGGGCAGGAAGCAGTTTGCTCACTATCTCACAGCTGCTGCGTGGGGAACCAGGACCTGAACTCTAAACTCTGAAGTTTAACACAAGAGTGTGGTTAAACGCTGTTGGCACTTGGTGGGGGTGGGGACCAATCCTGGAATCAGTGCTGGGGAGGATATTTACCCTACTTCCTCTCTTGGACAGGAAACTGAGGCTCCCGAGCAGCTGATTAAAATCTTGCCTGTCTGAAGCTGGCTCACCGGCTCCACATGAAGCAGTAGATTGCTGCTCAGAATTCTCCGGGCATGTCCTGGCTGGAGGGAGAGATTATCTTTTTGCTCAAGGGTCCTTTCTTTGCATAATCCTATTTATACCCGTTTCACTTGTACTACAGACAAAATCATTAAAACAAGAAACCAGATTTCTGGAGAAGAAATTTATGTGTTTAAAAATCAGTGTTGCACAACCGAGAACTCAAAAAGTACCACATTGCTTAAGTGGAAAACTGTAGTATGTGAGTTGTAGCTCAATAAAACTTGTTGTTCACTGTTTTAACAAGGGGTTGAAGAGATTGCCAGTCTCTAAGAGCACCGCCTGCTCTGCCAGAGGACCCAGGTTTGAATCCCAGGACCCACATGGCAGTTCACATCCGGTTCCATGGAATCGAACATCTTCTGGCCTGTGGGGCCCAGGCAATCATGTGATGTAAAGACACAGACAAATCACCCAACAAACAATTAACTAAAAAAACACCACAGACTTTCGATTTTGAGTGACTCCAGATAGGTTTCTCGTAGAATGACACACGGAAAAACCCGGGCTAAGCTGACCTCCATCGCTTTTTCTCTTAAAAAGTCTTTCTCAGTCTGCCCTTGTACCAAGTACAGGAGGAAAGGGACATGCTCCCTCGAGCTTATGTTCTGAATTGAAGTTCTCAGAGACCAAACGGCAAGTTTTGGTGCTAAAAAAAAAAATAGGATTTGACTCTGGGCGTGGTGGAACATGTCTTTAATACCAGCAGAGGGTCTACCGAGCAAGTTCCAGGGCAGCAGCCAGAGGTACAACAGGAAAGCCTTGTCTCAAAAAACCAAACCGAAACAAAAATCTGACTTGATATTCAATTTTTAAAAAAGTAATGGTTTGCTGGGCAAGGTGGCCCTCATTTGCAACCTAGCCCTGTAGAGGCTGAGGGGGGAGGGACAAGATCTTAAAGCCAGCCTCAGCTACAAAGTGTGTTGGAGGTCAGCCTGTGCTACATGCGAAGGGAAACAGGGCAGGTGAGATGCTCGGGGTACCCGAGTTCGATTTCGGAGACCCCACAGACTGCCCTCGGACCTGCACTTGTGGAGCTCACTGCTACATAATGAACGTAATAAAAAAATAATTAAAAAAAAACAAAAACAAAAAACGACAAAACTAACCCAGTTCCCCAAACCGGGGAAACAGAGGCCCCAGCAGCCAGGAAGCTGAGACGCACACAGTCTGTCGACAGCTGGAGGAGATCCTGGGCCGCAGCCGGCCAGTTGCAAACAAAACTTAATCACGTTTCCTTTTGTCCGCAAGCTTCGATGGGAATCTGGGCGTTTCGTTCGTGTTTGCTTCACCGGTGTGTGCGAACAGGGCGGCTGTCGGCCGTGCAGCCTGCCCGGGCGGCCGCGGGGGTCGGGTCCGCGGCCGCGCAGGCAGCTCCAGGCCGGCCGGTGCGCACGCAGCGCCGCAGCCTCCGGGTCACGTGCGCCGCGGAGTCCGCAGGAATGTAGCGCGGCGCAGAGAAAGTTTCCCCGGGGGCCGCGGGCCGCAGATTCGGTGCGGGCGGGCGCGCAGAGGAAGGAAGAGCGACGAGGAGGCGGAGCCCGCGAGGCGCGCGGGCGGGCGCTCCGCGCAACTTTTCAGTCTGGGCGTCCCGAGCCCAAGTCTCCGTCTCAGTCGGGACGCGGCCGGCGGCCGGGGCCCAGGGAGCTCGCGCGGGGCACGGAAGGCTCGGCGGCCTCGGGCACGGCGTGCAGGGCGATGCGGGCGCGCGACGCGGCGCCCCGAGCCTGAGCGCAGCGTCCCCGGGCGAGCGTCGAGCGAGGCCGCAGCCATGGAGCCCGCGCAGCAGCCGCCGCCCCAGCCGGCCCCGCCGGGGCCCGCGCCGCCCTCCGCGCCCGCGCCTCCGCCAGGGACCCCCGCGGCCCCGCCCGCGCCCCCGGCCGGCCACCAGGTCGTGCACGTCCGCGGGGACTCGGAGACCGACCTGGAGGCGCTCTTCAACGCCGTCATGAACCCCAAGACGGCCAACGTGCCGCAGACCGTGCCCATGCGGCTGCGCAAGCTGCCCGACTCCTTCTTCAAGCCGCCCGAGCCCAAGTCCCACTCGCGACAGGTAGCGGGGGCGCGTGGGGCCGCGCGGGGCCGGGCTCGCCCGGGGGCGGCGGCCGGCGGGGGCGGGGGGCTGGCTGCACAATGAGCGCGCCTCCGCCCCGCTCCGCCCCGCTCCGCACCTTCGCTTCGCCGGGGAGGGGGAGGGGAGGGGAGGGCGGGCGGGGGGGGGCGGCATCCCGTGCGGGGACCCCGGCCAGGCGACACCCCGCCTCCGCTGCCCGCGCCGCCCAGCCTCCCGCGGCGCCGCGTTTACTGTCCCCCTTGTTTGCGCGGCTTGGTGAGGGGTGGGGGTTGAACCGGTCCATTGAGTTTCTGGTTCCTTCGCTCGGTCCCCTCCCCCTCCCCCTCCGAAGCTTGCGCTCTCGGCCCCGGCGCGGTCCGATCGAGTGCAGGGTTCGGCCCCCCCCCCCCCGGTCGCCGCTCGCCCCCGCCGTGCCCTGGGACCCGGGCTGCCGGGCGGGCGGGATCTTGTCCCACTCGCTGGGCTCACGTGTCGCCCGCCCCCCGATCGCGACCTATTATTTACCGTTGGGCCCCAGAGCTTTTAAATTGGCCACATCTGGGCATTGCGCAGCAACTGGGCTGCGCTCTGGGCGCGGAGAGAGCTCGGCGCCGGCCTTTGAGAGCGCGTTGCAGGTTGACTCATAGGCCGAGTCCTGCCGGGCTCAACTGTGATTAAAGGTAATGTTTGGGAAGCAATGACTAATTCCAGGCTCGCCATTGCTCTTTAACTGACTGCGGATGTGAACATGGCCGCTTAGCCACATCCAGGACGCCTGCTTGTTTTCCCAACTGGATCCCACACAGAAGTGAAACCGTTTCAAAGTATGAACATTCCGATAGGGCCTGGTAGATTTCTTTAGTGTCGCTCCCCCCTCCCCTCCATTTAATTACTTAATTTTTAAAGACCTTGCTTTAGGCTAAAGCAGCATAGGAACTTTGCCCAAAACTTAATTGGTTTTCCAAACACCGCCGTCGTTAGCCCACTCGGGCTGTAACTTGAGTGGAAAGAAGAATTGCCGCCCCCGTCCCAGCCCCCCTCCTAGGCAGGCCTGCGGCAGAACAGGGTTTTTTTGGAGCTCCGAAAAGCTCGATTAACCTCGGCTACAAAAAGCCGAGTGAAGGAGGAAGGAAAGGTTATTTAGCCGCTAGCCTAAACACTTAATTTGCAACAACAGAAGACTTAGTTCATTACTCCCTCCCCCACAAGTGGGTTTCTGGACTCACTGAGCTAAATGTATGTTGGCGAGCAATCTTGAACGGCCGCGAAAACTTCGAAGGAACACGCAGATTGAATGCTCCATTTTGTAGGAACGACCACGGGAAAGTGTACTTGTAATACCCGACTTCCACCCGGCCGTTTGTGGGGCACATTTGCCTTCTGACTAGCATTTTAAGAGAGCTGTGTATCGAGAAATGTACCCTTTCTGGGTGCTAATGATTTCCTAGCCCTAAATTTAATCTGATCTGAAACCCAGAAATGCCCCTGCCTTTGTGGAGCTTTAAGTCTCCTTATGCTCATGAATCTAGGAAGTCAAAACGTTTTTGATAAATCCTAATTATAATAAAAGGATTAGGTATTGTAAACAATTGTCAACAGGTTCCTGCCTGAGAATCCTTATACCCCTATGCGCTTCTGGCATGGAAAAACTATATTTTACAGAAATGAAGACCAGTTCATTTCTGATACCTCGTTTAACACTAGTCTGGCCTCATTAGTTTTTTGCATTGTTGCAGTTCTGAGCCTTTGAGTTCATTAATTTATAATGGTTGATTTATTGATTCACACACAGCCGAAATAGCTCAGTGGGGAGAACGTTAGACTGAAGAGCACTGACTTGTGCTTCCAAAGGACCCAGGTTCAATTCCCAGCACCCACGTGGCAGCTCACAACTGTCTGTAGCTCCAAGTCTAAAGGATCTGGCACCTTCACACACACACGTGCAAGCAAAACACCAGTGCACATAAAATAAAAAGGAAAGATAGAAACCCCTAATTTATGGATTCACCGTCAAAAAGTATCGGATGAGGGCATTAGTTATTTAAAATGAAGAATGGGAAAAGTGCACAGTAATTCCCTGAGTTTTGCTCTAGGACTTTTAAAAAACCATACTGCTTGGGAAATGAACTGATTTATTTATTTTGGTGTGTATAGAACACACATGTTCTTTGCCACCAAATAACAGCTCTTGCCTCAGTTTTTTTGAAAATGGGTTTTTAAAATGCCCAGTTTTTAACTTATTTTCAGATGGACTGCTCCTCAGTAAAATAACATTTATGGTGTAGGTTAAATTTGCATAATTTAAAAGTGGTCCGTTCCTTAGCGTCAAAAGTTGAACACTGAAGTTTGCTTTTTGATATTTAGATATTTGCTTGCCTTGAATTTGGGGGTAGGTGCTGCTGCCTCAGTTGTGTAAATCCTCATTTTACTATTCCTAACAGGCCAGTACCGATGCGGGCACTGCAGGAGGTCTGACTCCACAGCACGTCCGTGCTCACTCCTCCCCAGCTTCCCTGCAGCTGGGGGCCGTTTCTCCTGGGACTCTAACCCCCACTGTGGTCTCTGGTCCAGCCGCTACCCCTGCAGCACAGCATCTCCGGCAGTCTTCCTTTGAGATCCCTGACGATGTACCGCTGCCCGCAGGCTGGGAGATGGCCAAGACATCGTCTGGTCAGAGATACTTCTTAAAGTAAGTGAAGATAACCCTGGGAGGCAGCAGTGTAGGAATGACGTTTATTTTGCTGGTGCTAAAGATGGACCTCTGTCTTAGGATGGCAAACAAGCATACTTTGCCAATGCTCTGCATCTCTCCTCCATTTGTGTATATGTGGGCACCCTCTTTGGTGTTGGCCATCTTGGAAAGTCTGCTCTTGGTTCAGAGCTTTTTGCACACTTGTTTTGTGGCAATATGGGGTAATCTCATTTTGAGTTTGTGCCAGATTTGTTAATTAGCCTGGCACAAAACAGAATACCATGAAAAATTTAAATAGCAAGACTGTCATGCGTTATATTTTCTGTGAGAGTGTGCGCTCCTTTTTGTGTCTTGAATATTGAACCCAGGACCTCATGTATTCTTTCCAATAAATAATTGCTAGAAAAGGAAGTAAGTAGGACTTGGGGAAGAGGTGGCTTTACTCCCCTTGGGAAACAAGTCAGTTAAGCTGCCTTTTGCTGTCATTAAACAGCTATTTCCCTCACAATGTGAAGAAAACACCTATGTTAGGTTTGGCCTCCAGGCATGCACACTTTTTACAGGCTTGCAGGTCCTGAGGAGCTGCACCTTCTCTGGGAATCAGAAGCAAGGCCACGGGGTGTCTTTTACAGTCATCTGAAAAGGACAAAATAGAATTTTATTCACTCTAATTTTGAAGTTGGAGGTAGAGCTAATTTTCTAGGGCTTGTTTGAATTTAGAATATGCTAGCTGTCTCAGACTGGTTGTTACAGACTGGGGGTGGGGGGTTGTTCTGTTGTTCTTTGAGTTGGTTAATTGGGCTGAGATGCTGAACAATGCTCATTTTGATGCAGATTTGTTTTGACATCTGAAGTAAATGCAGCCAGAGAACACCAGTAACAAACTTGTTTTGTTTGTGAGCTACCCCCAAGTCTGTATTTTCAGTTGCTTGTCTTGGGTGGGTTGCTACTTTGTGTGTGTTTGTTTTTTGAGACAGGGTTTCTCTGTATCCCTTGGCTGTCCTGGAACTTGCTCTGTAGACCAGGATGGCATCCAACTCAGATCTGCCTGCCTCTGCCTCCCAAGTACTAGGATTAAAGGTTTGGGTTACTGCTTTGGTGTAAGGATACAGAGTTTTGTATTTCAGGGGGACAAGGGAAGAAGAGATTTTGATCTTGATCTTGGAAACCTCTCTGCATCCCCCCCATCCCACCCCTCCCCCCACACACATTTGTTTTGTTGCCATTTTTCCCCTATAAGTTTTTCTTAAAAAACAAAACAAAAACCATTTTCTGGTGTCCTGGTCCTCGTTTCAAGGGGTCAGGTTGAAACAATAAAGGGCCTGAGAGGAAAGTACTCACAAGCCTGGCAGATTCATCCACGTGAGGGAGATCATTTGTTCTCTCTGCAGACTTCCAAGTCTGCTTGGAAGAGGGGCCTGGGTGTCCTGAAGGGAAGAAAAGGCTTAGAGCCCCGACCGCCTCCCCGCTGTGTCTGGTGGTGACCTGGGGTGATGTTAAACAGCTTAATAGCCTCCAGGCCTTCAGTTGTGGCTGTGGCTCTGAGCCGAAGGTTAAAGAGCAGCATTTGTGATGCTTTTTCTCTTTTGTGTTTTCTTAAAATTGCTTGTAGGTGACATCTGTTTGCATCTTCGTTATTTGTGGGAGTGATCTTTTCTAAGCAGAAATAAACCTTATTATTTCCGTAATTCTTCCTGTGGCAAGTAACTGCTGGGTTTGAGGGGTGTTCCACACTTAGCTCCACCCCTACTTAGCATCCTGACCTCTTTTCATGGGGGCTGGGAAGAAGGTAAACCACACCAAACTTAGACTTGCTTGCCAAGGGGGGTGGGCTGGGCAAAGCTTTGCCTAGGAAGCCAACATTGGCAGGATCCAAAAGCACGGTTATTACTTTTGCCCCTGCCCATGGAAGTCATTGTGCTCTTAGGAGTAGAAGGTCACTCACCGCTGAGGGGTGGCTTGAACAGTCACAGCAGGTGAGCTGAGTCACTGGGTGTGGTAAAGATCCTGTGGAGGCCTATGAGAACGGGGTGCTGTAGTCTTACGAAGCTGCTTTTTCTGAAGAGGAAATGCCTTATGAACAATACGCGGTTTGGAGAAGTGATGTGAAACAGAACTTTCTCTCCATTGTTGGCTTCCCCCTGCTGTTGTGTACCGTGTAGTTGCCAGAAAGAGAAAGAGCCGTTGAGCACCAAACAGATGAATGAAATTAATATCTGCCCTGACTGAGTCAGAGATGATGGTAAACTAAGCTTTGATGCCAAGTAGCTATTGTGTCAAAATTTATTTTTATCTTAGGTTTTGGAATCCATCTCTCTTCGCATATCAATACTTTGCTTTTGTCTGCAACTTTGTGTGAGATCCTGAGGATAACTTCCAGGGTTAGTGTGAGCCCTAGGACCCACACTATGACAGGGGAGAGCTGACTCCTCAGATTGCCCTGGCACATTACAGACTCAGCTGTGGTGTGTCCACATTCGATGTACACCCACAGGTGCATAAATACATAACTAATAAAAACCTCTCAAAAGGATACCAGCCAGCCGTGGAAGGAAGGTCTGACCGGCTTCTGAATTCCAGCTGATACACCTTTCATTCATCTTTTTAGGTATTTACTCAGACAAAGTATGTCATTTTTTGAGATGTACGCATGACAGGAAGAATTCTGAGCACAAATGGTCCAAGCTGGCAAGGTGTTGTAACTTGAGAGGTCTGAGAGAGTTGGTGACTTGGGGGATAGCTAATTGTTGCCTTATGACTGGAGAGGAGTGAAGTCAGTGTTGAAGTCTGTTGGCCCATCCTCCAGTTTCAAGGCCACCTAATTACCATGGTGGCTGTTAAAGCCAGTCCTGGGCCAGTGAGTTCTAGAGCCTTGGACTTTATATTGGCAAATGGCAGGTGTGTGTGTGTGTGTTAGTTACAAGCACCTCTGTCCTGGACAGGGACCCAGGCTCTAGAGATTATGCTGTACCTAAAAAAGCTGTAGTCGCTGGAGATGCCTTATCTTTGTCACCACACTTAATGTTTGGAACCAATTTCACCACAGTACTTTGAGTATTTTAAAAGACTCAATTCTCTTTCTACCTCAGCGCTTCTGCAGGTTTCCCTGCAGGAAATAGTTCTTCAAGTAGTTGGTCAACAACTTCCTATTTCTTTTATGCGCTGCTGAATAACTTCCTGAATTAGCATTCTATAATGTCTTTGGTTACAAGGAGTGCGTGTACTTCTCAAGTTCATTTTATTGAATCTGGTACCTTGTGACCGTTGCCAAGTACAAAGAACTTACTGGAAACTATGTAGGTGTTATAATTTGATGTACCAAATGTGATCTAGTGGCTTAATAAATAACGTTTGTGGGTATACATTGTCTTAATAATATTCTGACAGTTTTTTTAAAAAGAGTTTTCTATGGGGATGTTTTCATTTGTCATTTTCTGAATAGAGACAGCTGCAATGTTTTTAGTCTTTGAGTCTCAAGTTCGTAGGGCTGTGGTTTATTTAAAAGTGTAGAGTATTTTAGTGGGTGGGGGATGTCGTTCTGGTATATAGCAAGTACCAGGTTTGCTCTATTAACTTTCTAGCCTACTTAGGATGGGCTGGGTAGGAGGCTCAGATAAGCCAGTGGGTAAAGGCCTGCTCAGCAAACTGATGACCTGGCTTTGCTCTCCAGATCCTATGGTAGGAAGAGAACCATCTCCCCAAAGTTGTCTGACCCCCACACGAGCCCCATTTGTAGTGTGTGTCTGAGTCTGTCCCATCTCTCATGAACACAGAGTAATGGTCAGTTCAGAAAAGAGAGGAACCAGCTGTGGTTGTGCACACTTTTAACCCCCGCAGAAGCAGGTGGATGTGTGAATTTGGGACCCGCCAGTCTACATAGCAAGCTCTAGACCAACCAGGCTACATAGAGACCCTGCCTCAAAAAATAGTCCCTGCTCTAAAAAAAAAAAGAAAGAAAAGAAAAGATAGGAAAAAGGGCAGATAGCTTGTGGCTTTGGGTGACCTTTTAAAAAGTTTGTGACAATTGCTAGAGTATCTCTTTCCAACATTTCAAAAAGTTAAATTCTCAGATTTTTTTGGAGTTACTCAGCATTTAGTTTAGCCGTATACCAGTTGAGAATGTACCTGCCTCCTGAGTGTACTTCATGAATGTCAAGTGTAAGTACAGTAGCTTTATTCTATCAGTTATATGGCCCCACACCCTGACCCCCGTTTTTTTTTTTTTCTTTGTGGGTGTTTTGTTTTTGAGACAGGGCTTCTCTGGAACTGACCTTATAGAGCAGGCTGGCCTTGAACGTTGAGATCCGCCTGCCTCTGCCTCCCGAGTGCTGGGATTAAAGGCGTGTGTCTCCTCTGCTTTATGCGGCACACAAAGGAATTGAGTTAAACTGTTCGTTGTAATTGGCCCTTCTGTTCTCTCTTGCGATTGCTCAATGGAGGGCTGCACACACTGCACACCTCTGTGCAGAGGACTTGTTTTCCTAGGGAGCTGCAGAGTGAAGCCTGAATAAGTAGCTTGAGTACTGGGTAAGCTGCAAACTCCTGTAGAAAACACAGGGCATTCCCTGTCCTTCAGCTATTGTTCTTGCTATTGGGATGAGCCTTCTGGGTAGACTGGCCGGTGTCCCCACCCCACCCCCACCAAGTGACTCAGGGAGGATGGGAGGAGGACGCAGGTGACAAGGAGAAGAAATAAGTAATTTACTTTTTAGGGGGAAAATACACTATTCCTGATGTTACCTGCTTAAATAAAAAACTACATGTTTAAAATGCCTCGAAATATCAGTACAGGAAGCTAATGTTCTTTAAACAGTAACATTCAAAAATACTTATCCCCACAAAAGCCTAAGTAGTGTCTCAGTAATTGACAATTTATGGATGGGGTGGGGGAGGGGATGTTTTCACGGTATGGTCTCACTGTGTAGCTCTGACTGTCCTGGAAGTTACTCTAGAGACCAGGCTGACTTGGAACTCCCTGATCCATCCCTCTGCCTCTG